TTTATTAGAAATACAGGAGACAAGGGAATGCTCAATGTCACCATGGGTATCCAATCAGCAAAATCCATAAAATGGAAAATTCTGCCAGGTTTTCAACAAATTAATTGTCAGAAGAAAAAAGAAAGGGGGAATCCTATAGACTGAAAGAGGAGAGGTATAAGGGACATGTCAACTAAATTCAATGTGTGGATCTTTTTTGAATCCCAATTTTAACAAGCCAACTGTAAAAAATCATCTCCGAGATAATCAGGAGAAATTTGACTACTGATGGGATATTTAATGGTATTAAGAAATTATTAATCATTGTTAATTTTAAGTATAATGATATTACAGTTATTTATTTTAAAGAGTCTTTTTTCTTTTAGAAACATATACAGAAGTATTTATGGATGACATGATATGATAAAGGGGTTTGCTTCAAAATAACCCGGAGTATATATGTGTATGTGGAGAGGAAGGAGGTGTGAGGTATAGATGAAGCAAGATGGGCTATGTGTTGATAAATGTGGAAGCTGGGTGGTGGGTACATAGATGTTTATCATTCTATTCTCTCTCCTTTTGTATATGTTTGCAAGTTTTCATGGTACCACATTACAAAAGAATTGTTTTCCCTTCCTTCCACCCACCATCTCCAAAGACTTCATTGAAAATATTCCAAAAGATCTCTTGGGATCCTAGGAAATTATGTTTAGGTGACATTTATTTAAAGGAAAGTACCCCTCTGATAGTTATAGCTGGTTTTATACAACTGGATTGAGTCCTATCTGTGAGGTTTATTTGAATTTTAGAGTGTGAGGTTGGCTGGGTGTGGTGGTCATACCTGTAATCCTAGCACTTTGGGAGGCTAAGACGGGAGGATCGTTTGAGGCTAGGAGTTCAAGACCAGCCTGAGACCCTGTCTCTACGAAAAAATAGAAAAATTAGCTGGGCATAGTGCATGCGCCTGTAGTCCCAGCTGTTCAGGAGGCTGAGGCAGGAGCATCGCTGGAGCCCAGGCATTTGAGGTTGCAGTGAGCTGTGATGATGCACTGTACTCTAGCCTGGGCAACAGAGCAAGGCCCTATCTCAATAGATAGATAGATAGATAGTAGATAGCTACATAGATAGATGAGTGTGGGGTTTATCGGATGGTTGCAGCATCACAGAAAGCAGTGTCCTGTTCAGCCTCTGTTCTGAGCGGCTCCTCTCCTCATGTTCTGCAGATGCTGCTAATGGAAACAGTAGCCATGGAGGGAAAAGCAGTGCGTCCAGCTCCACTCCAGCCCGCCCAGGGAACTACTCTTTGTCACCAAGACCTAGCTATGCCGCAGGAGACCAAGGTACAAACCCATCGTAGAGTTTGGAAATAACGTATTTGATTAGGTAGAAGTGTTACGGATTTTGGAATGACAAATGATCTAACAGCACACTCTAGAGTTTTTCCTTAGCTTGTCATACAATGTTTTGAAAGTTTATGATTGGTGTGAACAACAGTGATTAAATATATCTTGGGATTCTACACAAATGAGACTCACTGGGAAATAATGTTGAAACAGACATATAAGGAAATGTCTTGAAAACTCATGAGTTCTGCTGACCAAAGTACGGGATTCAAAGTTCTTCTCTGTTATGTGATCCTCGGCAAATCTGAGCCTTTTTTTGTCTGTCTACAAAATGAGTATAAAAATAATACCTGTCCTACAACTCCACAGGGTCATTGATAGAATCAGATGAAATAATCTGAGCTTTGTCTTTGCTTCTAGAAGAATGATTTAGACTTTCTGAGAATAATAAAATTAAAGGTTCTGTTACTGTGGCATTCTTTCCTTTCTTCCACATGACTGAGGACAAGGCTGTCTTTCTTTTTGTCTTCAGCTACAATGTTCACTTCTGGGCCACCGAAGAAACGACACCGGGGGTGGTATCCTGGGTCACCTGTCCCCCAACCTGGTTTAGTTGTACCTGTCCCTGCAGTTCGCCCTCTTTCAAGAACTGGTAAGATTTTAACAGCAGGTGGATTTTAAGGTGTTTTTGTTTTGTTTTGTTTTTTTAATTAGCAGAGATATCTTCTACTCTTGTTCTTTTCCTCAACCCTTGAAGATAAATTTCCTTAACCAACCATTGTGTTCAATATTATGTGAGGATATTGATAGTAGCTAATATTTTGTCCCCATCACATCTGCCTTCCCTGCAAGCACATGTATCATCACGGCTGATCTGAATTCAACCTTTGGCTTAGGTGTAGCCCATGGCATTGATAAGCCATTCATTATCTAGAACATGATGCTACCAGCCACCATCACAGGGCACAGATGGACCTGCTGTGCCAGTAGCAGTGTTAGATTTGCCCTCCTGTGATCTGGTTCCTATGTGACCCATCCTTGTTATTTCTGGGCTAGACTGTTCAGTCTATGGCTAGAAACCTACTAACCTACTAACCTACTAAACCTACTAAAAACCAACTAATTCTCCTTCTTAATACCCAAACTGTGGCCATTTGGTACCTACAGTTAAATGTTCAAACATTTGTCTACTTTGCTGTACTAAACACAGACAACTGGAAATATACCAATTCTAAGGCATAGATGGGGTTCGTTAAATGTTTAAGCTTTTTTGAATAAATAGTCTTAGAGACTACGTAGAGATCTTATATACACAAAAAATTATGCCAATATGTCACTGTGGTTGCCTCTAGGTAGTACTGACTAATGAGCTTATCCTTCACACTTTTCTGTGCTTTTCGAAATTTATATAATGAACAGATATGCCTTTGATAATGGGTGGCGGGGGGTGGGGGTGAGATAAAATACAAAACAGAATCCAAAAGATTGCATGTGGAAAAAAACTGGAAGGAAAACTACCAAAATAGTAGTTATCTCTAGATGATATGATTATGCTTGTTTTTTCCCTTCCTTTTGTTTTTCTCACTCCTAATTTTGTATAATATACACAAATTAATGAAAAAACACCACAAGCCATTAGACTTCTAAAACTTCTATATTAACACTGCATTGCTTTCCATTGTATATCATTTAGACTTCACATCTAATCCTTCCTGTCAAACAACTTTTCTTTTTCCAGAGCCCCTTTTATCTGCCCCAGTTCCACAGACCCCATTAACTGGAATTTTACAACCTCGGCCCATTCCTGCAGGGGAAACTGTAATTGTTCCTGAAAACCTGCTGAGTAACTCAGGAGTTAGACCAGTCATTCTGATAGGTAAGGCAAAGGAATTCCAAGTCACCTGTGCCTTCTGGAATCTCAGACTGTTTTTATTGTGTGTTTATTCATGTATTCAAGAAGGGATTCATTTATCCATCTATTGATTCTGTCAGCTTTTATTGGACAGCTCCTTCATGCCATATTAAACATAAGATTAGAAGTTGAGAATAAGGTAAAGTCTTTCTGCCCTCAGGGAGCACTGTTCAGTGGGGGAGTCTGCCCTCTCGCTATCATTGGGGTTAGTAAATAACTATTACAACACACTGCGATAACCATTACAACACACTGTGATGTGTGAGCAGGTAGAGGTTCATAGCCAAGAGCAACAAGAGCTCAGGGGAGAGAGGGCTGACCTCTGCCCAGAGGCGTCTGAGAAGACTTCTGAGAAATGATGTTGAAGCTGCATCCAGGGTTGCTTAGAGTAGACAAGGTGGAGGAGGAGACATTCCAGTCAACAGGAGCCAAAGCACAGAAAAAAGAAACAAGATAAACCAGCTAACAGGAGACCTTACTCAGGAGATCCAAAAGGCCCCACGGTCGCAGGTCTGAACCATGGGCAACATCTGTGAATCAGTATCTTTAAGGAGGCTGAGTCCTTCCAGGTGGTCTATCAATGGAGGTTTGGAAATGTAGGGGTCCATAGATTCCTGGACTGACTTAGTGCTTTTCATGCCCACATTAAGAGTCCTCTCAGTGTTGGGTTAGCCTAAGCCAGAAGGAGACTACCTGCTTTACCTCTAGGACAAGACAGACAGGGGTGGATGGGTGTTTCATTTCCACAGGTCTTTAGGGTGTGTTTGTTTGAGGTGTTATCTGCTTTTCGCATTGGTCTGAGGCCACCTACTTGGACGGTTTTGCTTGGAGCCCTGTCCTTTCCCAGGCTGCCCTATCCGCTGATCCTAGATCTGTAGGCATTGGGGGAATCTCAATTGTTTAAATTCCATATGGTTTAGGAAGTTATTTTTTGAACATTAGCATGATGCAACTAAGCCTTGGAAAGATACACAGAACATGGGGACCCTTTGGTTATTTGGTGCCTGCCTTTTAGAAAGTCTCAGAGAGGGATTGTCCTCTCCACCAACTACTAAAACAGGGAATATTTTCCACATATTTTTATCCTATCTACTTCTAAGATAATTTGGGACTGTTTACTGACATTTAGGAAGAAAACGTAATAAAAATAGGTAAGATAGAAAAAGGAGTAGGAATCTCCAAGCACCTGTAACTGGTACAATGTTGCTGTTGATCAATGAATTAGCTTTTTTTTTTTTTTTGGTAGAAAATCTCAGTAAGTGAAACATGTATTGCAGTTTGTTCATTTTCCGATTTCTTATCTGGAAAGAAACTTGATCAGGAACTTTATTAGAAAATATCATTGGAGTTTTACAAAGGATACAGAGGTGTTTCGCAAACTCATCAGTCTTCTATGGCAGAGATATAATGTTAGCATGTCTCTTCTGTAGGAAACAAGAGATAATTAATCTGAGTACAGTCATCCCTTGGTATCCATGGGGTATTGGTTCCAGGTGCCCCCATACCAAAATCTATGTATACTCAAGTCCCTGATATAAAATGGTATAGTATTTGCATAGAATCTGCATACATCCTCCCATGTACTTTAAATCATTTCTAGATTACTTATAATACCTCATACAATGCCTGCACATCCCTTCATTCATGTGGATTCAACGTAGTACTTGGCAGGTAGCAAAGTCAAGTTTTACTTTGTGGAACTTGGTGGAATTTTTTTCCCCATGAATAGTTTCCATCCACATTTGGTTGAATTCACAAATGTAGATATGAAGGGCCAACTGTATTTTGCTTCCTGTTTATCTGATTTAGTATAAAGATAAAATTTGAAGCATCCAAGTGAATTTCATAGGAATGACGTATGTGATCAATTTGGCTGGTAGCCCTCTCACAGGGCAGGGAATTTTATTAAACGTCTTTGATCCTACTTGAGTAAGTGTACCTGGTTGGACCTCAAAAAGAAATGTTGAACTGTGTTGACCTCCTTCTGTTGGGGCAGGCTATGGCACTTTACCCTATTTCTATGGAAATGTTGGCGACATTGTTGTGAGTCCTCTGCTGGTGAATTGCTACAAGAATCCACAGTTGGAAAACAAAGATTTGGAACAATTAGGGTTGACTGGCAGCCAACTTCTGAGCGTGGAAAACATGATCCTTCTAACGATACAGTATCTTGTGCGGCTCGGTAAGTTATTTTCCATAATCATTCCCTGGTGACTGTTTTTATTCTTTTTTTATCATGCACTTTTTCCTTTCTTTCTCACATTCATCCACCTATCTCTTATTTTTCTTCTTTCGGTTCTAACATTCTTTTCCTTCCACCTCGTTCTCCATGACTTTTCCCTTTCTCTCCTCCGTTTTTGTTTTCTATCCCTTTCCTCTTTGCTTCTTTGGGTCCTAGAAGAGATGAATTGCCCCACCTAGTGTCCAGTCTCATGATACTCCAAAGGGCTCCAAAGTAGCCGTGTGGGCAGAACTGTTAAGGGTTGTGCCATGGGCACCCCTCACCCCGTCCACCCCCAGGAGTCTGGCCAGGCCGCATTTCTGAAAACACAGCTACCATCTGGAACACAAACATAGCCACTGTCTTAAACAATTTTTTCCAGTTTTCCAGTTAGCCTTTTTATCTTATTTATCCACTGCCCCATGCCAATTTTTTTTCTTCTCCAGCTATACCCTTTGATGGAGTCCTGTTGTGCTTTCCTTCATTGAGGTAGTAACTATGGACCTCCCTGGAAGGCTCTCTAGGCTTTAGGGTAAGGAGGATACATAGGTCATGAACCCTTCACTTCCCTCTGTTTGATATATCCTCCCGAGCCCCCCACAGTGGGAGTATGCAGGTGCCCTGACAATGCTATCCTGGTTCAGCATCATTTACATTGAAATGTCCTTTATTTTGCAAACTGCAGTAGTCCATCTAATATGCAGCCTGATTATACACTCACTCCAGGACTTCAAGCCACTGATTTAGGTAGAAGAATGTTTGAGATATAAAATTTTTATATTAATCAGAAAAAATTTTGTATGATCCCAAAGATTATGGTTGCCTTGCAGGAAAATAGTCAGTACTGTATCTGACTGACAACTCTTATGTCAGCATGCCTTTTTCCACTGACCATATAAACCAGATTTCTCATATCTTCATGGAACTGGCTTTGTCTTTCTGCTAGTTCCTCCATGAATGAGTTGAATAAACCTTTGACATGTGAAAAAAAAAAATTTTGTACACAGTCATGAATTTTTTTAATATTAGAAAATACTGCAGTGTTAAGAAATAATAAAAAATAAAAACACTGGGCCAAATAGTTTAAAAACCAAAAGCTTCATGAGCCCTGAGGCTGCTTCGACATGGGCTCTGCTTTGACGTGGGCTTTTGAAACTTGCAATACTTCAGATTTCCCATGAGAGCTACTTTCATAATAAACCTAGGACTTACTTAATCATGCTTATCGAGAGGTAATAAAATTGTAAAAATCACCTGAGTCTCCAGCTCATTTGATATTATAATTTTAATTGCTATATACTGACATTGGGCTCTGGACTACGTTCTAAGACCTAAAACCAGCTTCTAGATGCACCCAGAATCCGTAAACAAGGCTTCATAGAGCAATAATATTATAGCCAAGCAAGCCAATCACTATAGCATTTTTTTCAATCTTAATATTTAAAAAGTCATGAATGTCCAAGTTAAACAAACCAAATGGTCAAAATAAAATGTCTTCCCTTAAATTACTAAGAGCTCTTATCTTAAAAAAAAAAAATAGAAAAATCTCAATTTAATTTTCCACAGATTCTTCTCTGCCTTGCAGGATCATTCTCTCCAGAGTTTTACTTTCAATCAATTAATTTAGGTATCTCAGTGTACAACATGAATAGTTATTCCTTTTTTTTTAATCGGAGCTTTCTACATTGGGACTTCTCTGCCCCTAAACAACTGTTCTGGAGTCCTTAAAAAGTTTTTTTTGCCTCTGGAGGTTTTGAGAAGGCAGCAAAAATATTTTCACATATACCATAGATTATAGACATTTAAAGAAATAAATTCAAACTTCTAAAAGGACAGTTTTAATGCTTTGGTATTAAATACTTTGGCTCAGTTACTTGGAGGTAACAGAAGAAGAAAAGCAAGATTCTTCAGAAGGAACAGACCTTTCCACTACAGTCACTTTTAAAAAAAAAAAATCTCAGTTATTTCACAATCTGAAAATCTTTTGAAGTAGATAATGAAATCAGCAAATCCAGAGATTCTTGGAAGGCTCTGAGTCTGGTGGAACCTTGTCTTTTCCTATTAAGGTAGCTGTATCTGAAAAGCCATTAGAACTGATGCCTGGGCTAAACTGAGTTACTGGAAATCGGCACTTGAAGGAAAAAATTACTATTATCAGGCTTGCAAAAAGTGGAAAAAAGTCTCCTCCAATTTAACTATAAAGGCTGAGGATGAAAAAGTGAGAGTCGATGATTGGAAGCAAGGCATTTTACTCTAAGAAGTCTCTTACCTCATTTAAACTGTAACATCTTTTTCCCCATTTCTCAATTCCTAACAAGAATTCAGTCAAAACGCTATAAAAGTATGTTTTAAGACAACAGAGAATGTTGTGAACATGTTTGATAATTCTGTTTTCCCAGAATACCTTTATATTTGAAGTTAATTATGCCTCCTGATGGAACATGTTACTCAATCCTGTTTTTGGAGTAGGTCTTATGGCCACAACTATTAACCAGGCATCTGAGCCTTCAGGTCATCTAGAAGGGACAGTAGGGAATTGGAGAGCGCCAGGGCCACCTGCTTTGAAACTGTCACATGTTCTGGTGGAAGAAAGCTTTAAGTAGACAACCACCTTCCCTTCCTTTGCAACAGTTAATACAAATCTATCCACTTTAAGCTCACTGCTAAGTAAGTACCTAGGTGACCACTACCATGATGCTCAACTAATAAAGCTGAATGAAGATCAGAAGTCTTGGTGGCTCCCAGGTGATTAAAACAACAACAACAAAAGCTGTAATCCTAGCACTCTGGGAGGCTGAGGCAGGAGGATCACTTGAGGTCAGGAGTTTGAGACTAGTCTGAGCAAGACCCCATCTCTACAAATAATAGAAAAATTAGCTGGGCGTGGTGGCCCACACCTGTAGTCCCAGCTACTTGGGAGGCTGAGGCAGGAGGATCAGTTGAGCCCAGGAGTTTGAGGTTGCAGTGAGGAGCTACGATGATGCCACTGCACTCTAGCCCAGGGCGACAGAGCGAGACTCTGTCTCAAAAAATAAAAATAAAAAAAACTCCCCCTACCAAATGATTGGGAAGGACATAAGAAACATAATCATTACAACTTTCTTGTCCTATTTCCACGTATAGAAGAGAAAAATCTGTCTATGATGTTTCCACTCTTCTACCTCTCGCTGGCGCCTAGCCAATCCTGGAAAAACTGTGTTCTCCAATTAAAATAGTTCATTTTTCAAATGTATAATATTGTATTTAATCTTCCTTCTCTTAAAAACATTACTAAAGCCCTCATTTTCTTACTTTCCCAGAAAAGATGGGCAGGGCCAGGGAGGCCAATTAAATTCCTGTTAGACTGAAGCCTAGAAGTTGGGGGCTGGAGTGAGCCGTGACCATGCACTGCACTCCAGCCTGGGCAACGGGAAGGAAGGATTCCTGGCTCACTCGAGGGGCGGCCTTCCCATACAGAAGTCTAGTCCCTCACCCTTGTGTTCTTTTGTGCGGGGCTTTTATCCCTGAGGCTGTTGCTTGGTCTCAGTTCACAGATGCTGAGGCATATGTTTACTGGAGCCTGAGTTTCCAATCTTGGGTTTACATAGCAAAAGAAATTACTGAATACAGGGAGCGATTATATTCTCACTGGTTTCAATTTAAACTAAATATAGAAATCTTAGTTCATTTGTGTCACTTGGATACCAAACATTGACTTGCTTATTTTGTTCTAAAGACTTTTCTAAAGAGAATGAGAAACAAAGTCCCCCTAATTCCAGAGGCCACAGGTCAGCAGTATAAGCTTAGCCCTAAGCACGGCTGGGGAAGAGGGCCAAATGCTGTAGTTAACAATCCCGAACACTGGGGAATAACTAGATGATGAAAGCATTCTCCATCTGGGGAAAGTGTGAGGCTGTCTGAAATATAACTTGGAGTGAAAAATAATTAAACCTGATTTTCCTGTGGACATTATTCTCAAAATGAGATATAGAGGCACTATGTTAAAAATGCTTTTCAAAGCATCTATGAATAAAATGAGAAATGAATGAAACCTAAAACTGATTATACACCAGCAGGTTGGCTTCTTATTTCATTAGTCAGTAACAATTTCCGTAATGCCAAGCTTAATAGGTCAAGAAATAAGCCGTCTGCGATGACCATCTCCCGAGGCATCCGACAGAACTGATAGTCTCTCTCAGTACATCCTCTCTTAAAGAGACCAGGGTTAGAATAAAGGAGAACAGAAGCCTGATTTAAAAAAAAAAAAAAAAAATAGAGGCAAAGAGAAAAAAAGAGAAGGTAATGTCACAATAAGAAGTGGTTAGTATGGGCTCTGTACGTGGGACCACCACAGGGAAAAGAGCTTGTTTCCCAGCTGGAGTACAGCAGGCCTAGCAGGACAGCAGGATGGTGTGTGTTCCTCTCTCCTCCCTGTGATTTTTTTAAATTCCGGCTGTAATTCTCTTCATTATAGGTCCTGATCAGATACCTCTCAGGGAAGACTTTGAGCAAATCATGCTGAAAGCTATGCAGGAATTTACTCTGAGAGAGAGAGCCCTGCAGATAGGTGCTCAGTGTGCACCTGTGTCGCCAGGACAGCTTCCCTGGCTTGCGAGATTAATTGCCAGCGTATCTCAAGACTTGGTTCATGTGATTGTGACCCAGAACTCTTTGGCAGAGGGCATTTCAGAGACACTGAGGACTCTCAGTGAAATGAGACACTATCAAAGGCTACCGGACTATGTTGTGGCAATTTGTGCATCGAAAATCAGAGGAAATGAATTTTGTGTGGTAGTGTTAGGTGAGTAATTTTGTTTGTTTGTTGTTTATTGAATCCATTTATTCAATCATCTGTCCATTTGCAAAGTATCTATTGGGTGCTTCAGGCATCCATGTCATCAATCCCTGATGAATTGCTCCAATTCGAGTTCCTCCTCCTAATTTTAGCTTTTCCTTTCCTCCTCAGGTCAGGTTTTGTAGCCCTCAGTTTGGCTGGTGCCCCTGTCAGCTGGTTGTGGGAGCATTATTTCAAAGCTCACCCTGGTTACAGATACCCTTGTCTCATGTAACTGCTGTCCTTAAAAGGTTCTGGAAATGTTACCACTCTAGCATGTGATAAAGCCAGCACCACAAGTGGCCTAAGCCAGTTAGTCACATTTGCCAGAAACTTAGCTCATATGTTCTTCTCACTGAAGAGTCTATTTAATATCGTAATGTTGATGCTAAAGAAAAGATTCAGAAAGTTGGCACGTTGTCTTTTTATTTGTTTGTTTGTTTTTCACTGTGCTGTTTTTTTTTTAATGAAGCACCATCCTGAATAGCTCTTTGGACTAAATTTTGTTTCTCTCTTCTCTGTACTGAATGGCTGTCACCTCTTCCTAGCAAAGAGGCAAAGCCCCCTCACTTTAGCAAAACCTGTCTGCCCATCTTTCTGTGCTATATATATTTTCAGAAACCTTCATCAGACAGTGTGATACATTAATTTTTAAAATTTTTATTTGTAAAAGCAACTTAACAACGTAAGTTTATATTTTTAAGGCAAATATTCATAATAATCGTGCATACACAATTTTATAAGTTTTTTTCATATTCTTTGCTAGTCTTTTTTTCTGCTTACGTCCACAGCCCCTGGGCACTCATTGACCCAAATGGCCCAGACTAGGGGCAGCCATGGTGTCGCCCACAGCCCCTGGGGAGCACGGGGATCTTCCCTAGTTTTAAACACATGCATGTGTATGTTTTCACACTTACAAACATAAGGTACATCATTTTTTCACTTGATCACCTAGCATTATATTATAAATGTTTTCTGCTTCTGTCTGTAGTCTTCAGATTGACATTCCAAATCTTTAATGTGCCCTGATTGTCTTAACCCAAGTCCCTGTGGTAACACCCTTTGGTTGTTTCCAGTTGTTGCTATTATAAATAATGTTCCAGTGAACGTTTGTTCTATTGCGGAGTCATCTCTTCTCCCCTCTGTTCTGCAGGCCAGCATCAGTCCCGAGCGCTGGCAGAGAGCATGCTCACCACAAGTGAGTTTTTGAAAGAAATTAGTTATGAGCTCATCACAGGAAAGGTCAGTTTCCTGGCATCGCATTTCAAAACCACGTCATTAGGTGAGTGGTTGTAAGATCCAGCAACACTGCCAGCCCCTAGCTGCATGACTTTCTGCATTTAAATCTTAACTTAGCCTGTGGAGGAGAGGAGTGCCGAGCATAAGCTTGCCCACAGATATGTCATCTGGAGCCGTTTATCCTAAGTGTTTTGTTACTAACACCACAGGAAGCAGCAGGGGGTCTAGAGGAAGACACATGGGTACTAGGACCGGAAGCCTCAGCTCAGCCCTGACTTTGTTGAGTGACCTTGGGCTGGTCTCTCCCTGGATCTCAGTTTTCTAATATGTCAAATGGGGGTAGAGTAATCCCATTCTGCCTGCTTTCGAATGTTACAGAGGTCAAGAGAGAACAGCATGCAAAAGCATGTAGACTGTAAGCACAATGCCAGTGAGGGCAGCTCTTGCGATAGAGACGCCCCGTAGAGATGGCCAAGCTTAAACACCGACGTGGTCACCAGCCAACCAACAGATCTTGATGAGAACCCAGCCTAACTGCCGAACTTGGACACTGATAAAAACGATACAAACGTATCCTTCCTTGTAACCTTATTTCCACTTTATTTTGTCATAGGCGATGACCTAGACAAGCTGCTAGAAAAAATGCAACAAAGAAGAGGAGACAGTGTGGTTACCCCCTTCAACGGAGACCTTAACGAATGTGTGTCACCCCAGGAGGCTGCTGCTATGATACCCACGCAAAGCCTGGGTAATGTCACCTCAGACCAAGAGGAGGAAATCAGTCCTTGGGACAGACATTAGAGAAACTAAGTCATTCTGAGGGTTTTGAGGACTCTTTTCTTGAAGTCATAGACCATGACAGCCTTTTCCTCATTGTCTATGTGATAAATTTGGTTCAAATTAAAAATGCCTTACCATTAAAAGTTTTAAAAGGCCTTGCTCCTAGTAAAAGTCTCCCAGAATGAAAATCAAAGACTTTATCTTAAGTACTCTCTCTTGTTTTCCCTGAAAGATTCCGGGGACCTTGGTGCGTTTTCCTTAGCTCTGTCAGCTGTGCCCAGAGAGTTCTGTTTGCTGAAGGCTTCAAAGAACTGCTTGAAAGAAAGTCTGGACTATAGGCCTGCAGGGTCCCCCTCGTGCTCCTTCACTTACACTCTGACCTGATGTCACCTCAGGGATAGCGAGGCCTTCCTGGCAGATAGAGCAGCTCTGCCAGCAAGTCATCTGTCCTACAACAAGCTTCAGGGGCTTAGAGGGGGACGGGGGGCCAGGGATGAGGAGTTCTGTCCTTAGACTGGATTCCTTTGGGCTCAGATTCCTGCCCCAATTCTCTGATTGACAGGGACAACATAGGAGAGGACGAGGAAAAGAACAGGTGAAAGGATAGATGGGAAACAGACCCATATAAGCTGCTGCTGACAGCCACTTGGCCACCGCTTGATGGGAATGCATCATTTATATATTAGGATTGCCTCAGGCACTCAAAGCAGTGTGGCTTGGCATCAGCTCAGTTGTGAAAGGGCATGCAAATACAGGCAATAAAATGTTTTGACTTCTGGACGGTATTTGGTAATAAAGGGATCATCCAGATGATCTAAAATGTGTTTATATTAACTATTTTGAATTGTTAACACATTTAGAATTTAAACATTCTCAGAGGACTTACAGATTCCCAAGTACATATCCTTGGTTCCCTGTTTAAAAAACATTGCTTAAACATATTTTTGTGTTTCCTCAAACTTCAAACCTTGCTAAGATAAATTCTACAGATATATGGATGTGTTTAGTCCCCACCAATCCAACCTGTGAAATGAAGGAAATAACAGCCTAACTATATCAAAAGACAGACTTATTTTGGTCAGCAGTCTTTGTGGTGCAAAAACTATTTGGACTACTATTAAAAGTTGTAGCTTTGGGTCCGGGCACGGCGGCTCACGCCTGTAATCACTCTGGGAGGCCGAGATGGGAGGATAGTTTGAGCTCAGGAGTTCGAGACCAGCCTGAGCAAGAGCAAGACCTTGTCTCTACCAAAAATAGAAAAGTCAGTCATGCATTGTGGCAGGTGCCTGTAGCCCAGTTACTTGGGAGGCTGAGACAGGAGGATTGCTTGAGCCCAGGAATTTGAAGTTGCTATGAGCTATGATGATGCCACTGCACTCTATCCCAAGGCAACAGAGCAAGACTCTGTCTCAAAAAACAAAATTGCAGCTTTGGGCTTTTCCAATGGGTTCTCTCAGCCAGTAGGGAGACCACCCATAAAAATCTCCACTCAACATCAGTGTCTGTGGTAGCTGGAGTACTGTTACTCCTGTCTTTGCCTGGACTGCGTTGCGGTTTGATTTCAGAAAACGTTAATTAGCACAGGTTAATTAGGCCCTTGTGATTCTGTTTTAGTCAAACTGCCACATGTGTTCCTGATAAAAGGCAGGTCTTTAAAGGATGGGATGTTGTCTGCTCAGGCGTTTAGCTGACTAAACTTGTTTCTTTCATTGCTTGTGTGTGTGGTTGTGCACACACATGTAAGAGAGATTGATTACTTGGTTATACTTGCAATAAAAAGCTACTGACATGCTTAGAGTACCTGGGCAATGTTTTTGTAATACGTCACCTGCTGAGTGGCCAGCTGGCTATGTCATGAGTCAGGTCGCTTCAGATAGTCGAGACGTCAGCACTGGAGTTGACCACAACCACCTAGACCTGCCAGGTCACACTCGCTGGCAAAGTGGAGCAGAGTGGGAAGAAAGGTGAAGGTCGTGTCTCCATGACCTCCGTTACGTAGTCACTGAGAGGGGAATTTCAGACCATGTTGCAACTGACTTGCTGAACAGGAAATGTTTGCTGTAGTGCCATCCAGAAAAGCTCAAAGGAACTCAGCGTCACCTCCTTCCCTGAACTGGGTCTGGGCTCGAGCACTGGCCAGTGCCGATATTCCTAAAGAAAACTGGAAACTCTCCCCTTCCCAGAGATGAGTCCTGGCTCCAGCTGCGAGGGTGTAGTCTGTCTCCATCGTGTCTGGCTTGGGGTAGGGGGCGTTAAACTAGGCATTTGTGAGACAATCAAGTCGATTTTAATACGTTTGTAAAACCACATCCACTCCTGAGCACATCCTCTCAGCCAAGTTTCCAGGGAAAATAGGCAAATCTATTAAAACTCAATAGAGAGTAAGACTAGCATGTGAGAATTCCTTACCGTGTGTGTGTGAAATGTCCTCATATGCATTTATAGTGGCCATTGTGGAAGTAAATTAATCTTGTTCTTATGACTTTTTTTTAAATTTTAGATTTAGATAATGAAACCTTCCAAATTTATCAACCACAGCTCACAGTGGCCAGAAAACTCTTATCCCAGGTGTGTGCTATAGCAGACAGTGGCAGCCAGAGCCTGGACCTCGGTCACTTCAGCAAAGTGGACTTCATCATCATCGTCCCAAGGTCGGAGGTGTTGGTCCAGCAAACTCTTCAACGGGTTCGACAGTCAGGTAAGAGTGAACTTCTGAAGAGGAGCCTCCCTGGAGCCAGCTTTAGGTCTCTGCCTCTTGTCTTTTGCTTAATCCAAATGTTTATAGGACACTTAAAACTTTCTTCAGTAAGAATAATCATAAAGCACTTTAAATGTTTTTTTGAATTTGTAAGTTTTCCCTCAGAACACTCTGTCCTTTTTCCTCCAACTTCAAGGGTAAATTACTTGCATGTTTCCCAGATACTGTTAAGTCCATGACGTAATCTGTGGGACTGGAATCTGGTCATTCATTGATGGAGACAAATTTTCTCCAGACAAGGACAGCCCTGCATGGGGTGATGGAGCCTGTGCCCCCGAACTCCCTCCGTGCTCAGATGGGCCACATTGTCATAGGTGGATTCTTGGACGTTTGGCTCATTACCGGGACACTTGCCACCTAGAAAGCAGAACACCACCCTGGCACATCAGCAGTGAGACTGAGATATAAAAACACAAGGTTAGAATTATTCCTAATAACTTCAAGAGAATAAGTATCGAGGAAAAAATGGTTTTCCCAGAAAATGTTAAAAGGTAGAGAGCAAAACTTTTACAAGTCTTAAAAAAAAAAACACTTTACAAGTCTGTGGTAAATAATAATCCTTTTCAAAAATAAAATTTGTTTAGAATTACAAGAAGCCATAAGGAATTTAGAAAATTGAGACAGCTGAAAAGCACTTACCTTTGTAAACTAGGTTTGAAAAGGAAATTATAAATATCGAGTCTCTCCTGATGACCTTGGTTGGCGAAAGGCACACGCACAAACCCACAGGTGCGTGCACACACACGCACACTGTAGCTGGAGGATGAATCCTTTTGCCGCAGTAAATAATCTTATTTTTAATATATTTAAAAACAAGAAGCAGAAAAATTCAGAAGTGTTTAAAATGTGGTCTGTATGTTCCATATCTATCATTCAGTGCCCCTGCTGAAATGCAAGTTTCCCGTCAGTGAGTCTTGGGGGGCTCTAGAGTCTCCATTTCTCACAAGCTTCCAGGGGATGCCAGTGCTGCTGGTCTGAAGACCACACTCTAAACAGCAGAACTCTATAAGAAATCTTGTGTTGTTAGGTCCACAGGCCAAATGAACCGACTGAAAATACATTTTCCCCTCTCCTGGTGACTGTGACTGACGCAGGTAAAGTCTTGTCCACATCTGGAGGCCCAAGTGCCTGGTCACTAGCGTAGTCTTCTTTTTAGCCTCTCAGTTTCTGAATGACAAGTTACCAAATGACCTGTTGGAAATACCAACTTGTAGGTGATGAGCTGGAGAAGGTAAAATGCCATCTCTCCCAGAAACCAGAGTAAGTTCTATGCTCTCTCAGCTACTGGCCATTTCTGCATTTTTTTCCTTCTTTCCCCCCATTGTGGGAAGTGGACAGGCTTCAGTCACACCAAGCAGTAACCAGATTTTTTATTATTTCTT